AACTCCGAGAGAGAATGGCAAAGATGAGTGGTGGTATGGGTATGATGGGTTTCTTCGGACCCCCTGGTGGGATGCCTATCCCTGGTGCGGCTCGCAAACCTAAGGCGCCTGCGACTGTGGAGGCGGAGAGAGCCATTGATGATGAGAGCTCCCGTCCCGCCGCAGCCCCTCCCGTCCCTATCATGGCCTTGCCTGGAATGAATGCAGGAAAGCCTCCTGTTTATCCTAATGTCCAGAAAGAGGAAGAACAGGAAGAACAGGACGAGTCTCCCGCAAGTCCGATAACTGAGCAGCATGCTGCACACGAGGTTCCTGATGTAGAGGAAGTTGTCCATGAAGAACCTCCTCAACGGCGCATGTCTGCCGATAGACCATTTACACCACAAGGTACGGAAGATGCTTTTTAATATCCCTGGGCTATTGCTGAAACCATTCGCAGAGCGCGCAGTTCCTCCCCCTCCCCCACTCAATACGCGCCCGGTACCACCTCCAGTTCCTCATGAACAGCCTTTGTCCCCTCCGCCGATTCCAGGATGTAAGTTTGCTCAAACTAGTGCTAGGTGTTAATTTGTCCTAATTTGGAGAAACTAGCTCAATCTCTGCCCCCACCCAAGGGCGCTGCACCTGCCGATCCAGGAGACGAATCTGATGACGAATTGTCCCTGCATCCGAACGCTACGCCGGCCACTGCAGCAGCAGAGCAACCAGCACCTCCGCTCCCCGACCATCTCGACTCTCGCCGAGCATCGACCTACGATACAACATCTCCCTTGTCACCTACACTCCCTGCAGACAAGAGAATGAGCCGCCCTCCTCCCCCAGTACCAGTCAATCCCCCAGTCCCATCTCAGAGCAGACCCATCCCTCCCCCTCCTCCAGTCAATATGCGGCGAAGGTCTACAACCGACAGTCGGACAAGCATGGCTTCGCAGCCCCGCCAAGCTGGCGAGGGTACCGAAGGCGAAATAACTGAATATGATGGCGACTACGACACGGACATCGCATCTGGTGCTAAGTTCAAGGATGCTCTGAAGTCACACGGCCGCGATTCTAGCCTCGACGAAGGTGTCATGACCGACGAACACTCGCTTCGATCTCCTGGAAGCCCGCCCCAGACTCGTCTTCCGCCTCCCCCTCCACTATCTGCCCCACGCGCAGTGCCCCCTCCCCCGCCGATCCAGCCTCCAAAGAGTTCCGGCAGAGACTCTATACAGTCGCCTAGAGGACCTCCACCTCCTCCACCGCAAAGAGAGCCTTCATATGGCGGTGATGATGATGAGTATGATCCTTACCGTTATACTGCCCCCCAGCATGGCGTGCCTGTTTCGAGAGCACCACCACCGCCACCAGTTCCCAGCGGCCCGGTGGAAGCTCCACCTATGCCTCCTCGGTCCGCTGAAGATGAGTCCGATGATCTCTATGAAGCTTCACCTGTTCAGCCTTATGGCGAGACGTCCATTTCGCCGCCTCGCGAAAAGCGCGCCTCAATGGCTCCCCCGCCCCCTAGTCTACCTCCGCCTACACCTCGTAGCAACCGTGCATCGCTGGACATTCCAAGAGCTCAGCCCAGTGTTCGGAGATCTATGGATGTTTCCCGTCCATCTATCGATTTAGGCTTTATTGCCACGGACGTTGACTTGGCAGAGAATACTCTTTGGTGGACGCAACCCAATACCCCGCCCCCTGTTTTCCAGAATCGCAAGGATGTTCTTCTCGAATTCGAGGAGTCAAATTCCTCCAAGCGGGGCGGTAAGTCTACTGTGACCAAGGATGTTTATATCTTATTCATCGACTACTCCCAAACTGTGATCACTGTGAACTTCGATGCTCGCAATCCCAGTGATGCGGCCCTCGAACAGCGTCACGAGGCGCCTCCTCATCAGCCGCGTCAAGATCAACTCGAGACTGCCCACAACCAGATTGGCACGCGCATTGCGAATGCAGTCAATGGAATCCAGAACACTACTGTCGCGGATGGTACCCCACATGGCCTGGTGCAGCATCTACTCAGTCCTCTGTCTGATGTCCTGCTTCCTGTTGGCACGCGCGCCTACGGTGCTCTTGTCTACTCTAACCTAGCCAATGCTTCGGTTCAGCAAAATGATGAGATCCGCGCAGGAGATGTTGTGACTTTCCGGAACGCACGGTTCCAGGGCCATCGTGGCACCATGCATCAAAAGTACAGCTCCGAGGTTGGCAAGCCCGATCACGTGGGCATTGTCGTTGACTGGGACGGCACGAAGAAGAAGATCCGCGCCTGGGAGCAGGGCAGAGAAAGCAAGAAGGTCAAAATGGAGAGCTTCAAGCTGAATGACTTGCGGAGTGGAGAATGTAAGGTATGGCGTGTGATGCCTCGGAGTTATGTTGGCTGGGATAAATAAGGAAACGCGTTGAAGACTAATGGAGAGATCTGCTGGTATGTGTACTGCGCACAAGCTTGCCAGGAGGTCTGAGCATAGGCGTGGTGTTGTTCTATGATCTGCTTCCATATATTACCTACCTTTCTTGTTGTACCTATCTATCCATTGAATGTCGTTCAGTGTAACTGCCAATGCACTGCGATGACAGTTGTTTTAGTTTTGCTGTCGGCATACTCCATTACATCAACAACTGCTGAATCTTTGATGATCTTTTCCTCCTAGTGTTAGTCTAAATTCTTGTGTGTCACAACACTGTACGATGTATGTTCTGTACAGTACAGCAGCTGCACCATTCATGCAGTGGCCAGAGGCACTCCGTAGATAGTCCGTCGACAAGTTGGGCAGAAAGTGCCTTCTTGCAAGTTGCGGCTGGTCCTCAGGCATACACCTTGCAGTCCGCTCCGGCCACCGCCCCCGGGCCCCAACCTGACTCGCGACTCGACCTCGGTCGGACCGGACCCATCCTTCCTGATTAGGAAGAACAACCCACCCTGGCATCGTCACAACCGCCGGAGCTTCATCCTTCTTCCATCCATCTTTTCTCCTCACAACAATCTGCCAACCAAACAACCCACCACTACTACCAGACCCCTATCCCATCTTCATCTAATCCGCAACCGCAAAGATGGGTGGTGATCTCAACCTAAAGAAGTACGTCCTCTCTCCCGACCTTCCCTTCCAGATCCTCCTTGCCCTTATCATCAAGCCTGTCCCCTCCCCTCCCCCGCCCCAGCCGGTCCAACCAACTAACTCACCCATCTCAATAGATCATGGCACCCCTCCCTCCTCCGCAACCAGGAGCGCGTCTGGGCGGAAGAGAAACGCGCCCTCGAGGAGCGCAAACGCATCGACCAGCTGCGGCGCGAGCGGGACGAAGAGCGCCAGATCCAGGAACTCCAGCGGCTGCAGGAGGACTCGGGCGCCCCGCGCCAGATCCAGCGCGTCGACTGGATGTACCAGGAGCCGTCGAGCGCCACGGGCCACTACTCCGAGGAGATGGAAGGGTACCTGTTGGGCAAGCGGCGGTTCGATCAGATTCTGCTGAAGAACGATGAGAGTCAGGCGCTGAAGAAGGGGGCCGCCGGGGTGGGCGGGGTCGCGGTCGCGGGTGCGGGGGACGGTGGTGCCGCGGGCGCGGGTGCAGGGACGAATCCCCGGGACACGATGGCGAAGGTTCTGGCGGATCCGTTGTTGGAGATTCGGAAGAGGGAGCAGGCGGCTTTGGAGAGTGCGATCAAGGAGGGGGTGAGGAGGGGGTCCCAAACGGTGGGAGGTGCGGGGGCGAGTGCTGGGGCGGGGCATAGGGAAAGGGAGAGGAGGCAGCGGCGGGAGGGGAGTAGGGACAGGGAGAGGGAGAGGGATCATCGGGGTAGTAGGAGGAGTAGGAGGTATAGCGATGAGGGGGATAGGAGGTCGCACCGGGAGAGGGAGAGGGAGAGGTCACCCAGAGCTGCTGCGGGGGATCGCTCGGAGAGAAGACGGAGGGATGAGAGGGGCGACCGGAGTTATCATCATCGCCGAGAGGATCGGGATCGGAGGGAGGACAGGGATCGCAGAGATCGCGACTACGACAGAAGAGACCCGGACCGCGATCGCGGCGACAGAGACGGCAGCGAGAGAGAGTACTCCAGCAGGCATCACCGTGACCGAGAGGACCGTTACGACCGCTCTTCTCGTCGGGATGCGCCCCGTGATCGATCGCCGTCACCCCGACCTGATCGCCATCGCTCAGACAGACGCCGTTCTGATGACCGGGGAGATGGTGCTCGTCAGGATGTCCGTGACCGCGATCGACGAGAGAGATCCGATCGCTTCTCTGACAGAAGGGACTACAGAGGACCGAGGGACTCGTACAATCGTGACAGGAACCTGCAGGATGGCAAAAACAACAACAACAACACGGAGCAGAGAGCCAAGGATTTGGAGCAAGAACGTCAGCGCAAACTGGCAGAGATGCTTTCCAACGCAGACGAGATGGAGGAAACCCGTCGTCAGCGTATTGCAGAGGTTACCGCTGCGGAACAGAAGCAGCTCGAGGAGGACGAGAAGCATCGCTCTGAAAAAGGCCGTTTTGTGTCGGGTCTTCATCGCCAACTCCAGGAAGACAATCTGGATGACCGCCTCAAACGTAGTCGTGGTGGACTTGCTCGGTTGGATGATGATGAGTGAGCATTCTTGGTAGGTGCAGCGTTCTACTACTACTATGGTTTTTATCCAATGGTCCCTGACGTCTTTGATGCATTGCAATCGATGGTTGGTGCAATAACGACAATTTTGCAAACTAGTGTCCATACACCTCAATTCTGCTAGAGGCAGGCAGATTGGGTAGGAAGTGTGTATGATATACAATAAGAATTGTAAACCATGATTCCAGCCCCCCCCCCAACTTCTTTACATTTTGTGTGTAGTTAAAATGATACATATAATAGAAATGTTGAATAATAAGAGGTATCACAAGTCCCTGCCTGCGATCAAAAAGCTGGCATCGCTCAAAGGATGAATGCAAGAAGGGGAAAGCCCAATGAAGTAAGTATGAAGAACGGACGCAGCGGAATGAGCAGGAATACTACGTAGAGGATATTACAGCAGCAACAGCTCTCCCGTCGCCGCACCACCAGCCAACTGGGGTTGATAGACCTGCTGCTGGTTCTGGTTGACCACATACTGGGTCTGCGACGCGCCACCGCCCCCGGCACCGCCGTCGCCGCGACCGCCCAGATCGAGCGCGGCCATCTGCTGGCTGCCGACGCTGTTGAAATAGTTGTCCGCGGCGCTGACGGCGGCGTTCATGTCACCCGCCGCCGCGCCGGTCATCGGGAAGCCCGTCGGGTTGGCGGCCGTCGCGGCCGTGGGACTACTGGCCGCGGCCTGTGCCGCCGCAGCGGGAAACTGCCAGCTGGCGGCGCTGGTGGCTTCCTCTTGCGGCTTCTGCAGGGCGGGGCTGTACTGCAATCGTCTGGTCCGCGCATTGCGGAAGACCTGCTGGACGGGCTTCAGATATACCGTGGCCAGCGTGCCGACATTCAAGCACAGCTCCTCTAGCGTCTTCGGGTCGAGTTTCTCGCTCTCCGCGCTGATCGGCGGTTTCTCGCCCATGACGACTTGTTTGGCGGCCGCGGGGTCGGTGGAGAGGAGCCGCCAGTACATGTACCCTCGGTCGCGGAGGTCGGGGTCGTCCGTCTCCTCCGTGCACCACTTCAGCACTTGAGGGACCAGCTGCTGGCCCTTGGTTGGGCGTTGGATGAAGAACTTCACCGTTGCGGTCAGGAGGGCCAGTTGAACCTCGATGGTTTCGTCGTGGAAGGTGGCGAGGTAGTCCTGAAGAAGGCCGTCGGAGTTCTCGATGCGGTCCGCGTATTGTCCGATTATCCAGATGATGGCGGCCTTGGCCTCTGGCTCATCGAGCTCGTCGATGTTCTGGATGACGTTACTGATGATGTTCTCGTATTGGTTGGGGTATTTGCGGAAGATGTTTCGGATGACCACGGTCGCTTCCTGGACGATGTAGGGAATCTTTGCGTTGACCAGGTCAAGGAGGGTGTCGATACACTGCCGTGCGGCCGACTCGATCTTGATCGCCAATTTGCCAATCGCGCGCACTGCCTTGCGCACGAAATGGACATCGATCTCTGTGGCATACCTAACCATTGTTAGCTGTGCGATCGTCAGGACATCAAAAGGCAAACTTACTCCCTGAGCTCCGCGAGCACCACAGAGATGTTTTCTTTCGTAGTCAGCATGAATATTAATTCCAGCTTCGTTACTTTGACATAGATCGGATCGTTGTAGTTGCAGAAGAAGACGCGGATATCGTTCCGTAGGACTTCCGGCCTCTTCTGTAGGATTAAGATGGCATTGCGTAAAGCCAAATACTGGACTTCTGGGGGCTTGGAGAGAAGGGTGACTAAGGGCGGTGACAACTTCTTCGCTAACGAGGTAACATGTCTCTCGTCGGCGATATAGTTCATGAGGTAAAGGATGACCCGGATCGAAGTCAGAACGACGGCAGAGTTGGAATGCGACAGGCGAGGAGCAATACGCTCTGCCAGCAAGAGCGCTTCAGCGGAATCTTGAGGAACATAGGACATCAAGGCTTCGAGAATGTATGATTGCCCCCACCTATGGGTCTTATTAGCAAAAGACTGGTTTCATCGGGTACAGGAGTAAGTACTCAGAGCAGTCTGGTAGGATCGAAACCAGCTTCGACGCGCTGGCGTAGTCAATGGTGAGAGAGATCGATTCACTCCGTCCCCAAATATCTACCAAGGAGGCAAGGACGCTGGATACCACCGTCGGGTTCTCGTCCTTAAGCATGCTGTTCAACCGGTCGATCAGGTCGGAGCTTTCAACCATCTTCTTATCGTGCTCGTAGAGCTTCGCGACGCAAAAGGCGGCCGTTTTCCGGACGTAGGGATCCATATCCTGCATCAATCGCTTGACCGGTGCGACTGTGGCTTCAACAAACTCGCGAACGTGGACATATGAGATCGTTCGTAAAGCCAGAGCACGCACGAGCGGGTTGGAATCTTCCATATCCTATGCGCTCGTTAGGAACTCCATCGAAGTGCATCCAGGTGGGGGAAGAAAGAGGGGCATCATCCATACATCGACCAGAATCGGCAACGCCTTGAGCGCAATATCCGGCTTCGCCCTGGAGTAGTTGACCAGAAACAGGAAGCACCTGTATCGTTAAAGACAAGTCAGCGCCGAACAATTGTATCCGCAATCGGTTTTCGCCCTCTCGACATACATCTTCTTGATTTCCAGACTGGGCAGGTTCATGCAACCGATCACATCCGGGAACAAGGCTACCATGTCATTGTTGCTCATCGTCATGTTTGCGACAATCTTCTTGAGGGCGATCTTCTTGGCCGAATGGTTCTTATCCTTTTTCCCACCGCTGTTGAGCTCCTGGCGCAGTTCGGCGACTTTGCCCTGTTTAGATTGAGAGAATGGTAAGCCATATTGCGGACTATAGGGGACCACACTGAGAAACATGGGATCACAGGGAGTCTTCTTTAGAACGAGCGAGACTCGAGTGTGTGAGGTGGATAGGATTTCATGGATGACCGAAAAGAGGTTGCCCCAAGGGTGCGAGGAGGAAGGAATAGGACAGTGCTCGGTTCGTATGGAAGAGAGCTACCGTCGAGTGTGATTTGACGGATTGAGGAGGGGGAAGATGCGGAAGAATGATAGGAAGTCACCAGGCCAAGGCCTCAAAGCGACCGACGAAACGGAAGAGCAGTGCATGCGCAAGTACATACCCTTGCGAACAACTTCGCATCTCCCCCGCTAGAACTCATTGCGTCGGAGGGTTATAGGTGACGAATCGGGCGAGGTTCGGTGGCTTGGTACTTTTCAAAACAGGGCTGGCGCAGGGTTTGCAGGTGAAGGTGATGGTGTTTCAAAATCGCATGTGCATGTATAGCGACGTTGGTTCGTGTCGGTATGCTAGCTTCGAGGGGGAGGAGATCTTTAGCTGGCCGCAGCTTCCATGACCTTTCGAGAAGGGAGAGGGGTGTGCAGGTGGGTGCTAAAGGAAGGAGTCAGCGTCGCACGGAGGAATGAGCGCGGAAGCGGATTGGAGTCCAACCTAGGTTCAATGGGAAATAATCACTGTCTCCCCCAGTTCGATCTGACAGTCGCGAGAGAAATCCAAAGTCGAGATTAACAAGGTCAAAAGGGGAACGAGCCTCGATCAGGGTCTGGGTTGGATTGAGAATCAGGAGTGGATCGGGAGCCGCCAACTCCGCCCGCCGCTTGTGGAGAAATTCCCAGTCCGGATGGAGGAGGACGACGGGGGTTGTCATCATCATCATCATCAATCAACATTCTTCCAGCTTGCCTTCTCCGCACCGTTGCCCATCAACAACCCCTCCATTACGCTACGCTTGCTTGTGCTCAGCTCCCTCCTCGTTATCTCATATTTGAGTCCAACAAAAAAACTTGGATGGCTGCGCAACCTCTCAACCCGCCTCCACCCCCAGAATGGGTGGTCAGGCTAAACACCCCGATGCCGCGCCCAAGCAAAGAGGCCGCCAAAATCCCCGATCCTCCAGGCTATTCGAAGAAGATGGGCGGTAAAAATGTATGTTCTGTCATGAATACTCCCTACTCCCCCTTCTCCCCCCCCCCACCTCCGAGGCCACCGAACTAACCCTTATAATTGTGTCCGCAGCTTGCGCAACAGTCATCGACCACCGCCGCGCCGACCAAGCCCGAGGAGACCGATACCCTGAAGTTGAAGAAGGCCTGGGAGATTGCCCTGGCTCCCTCCAAGCAAATCCCCATGAACGCGATTATGATGTACATGTCTGGCAACAGTCTCCAAATCTTCAGCATCATGATGGTCTTCATGCTCTTCAAGGGCCCGATCCAAGGCCTCATCAATACCAACACCGTCTTCGCCAAGTTCGAAACCGAAGGCACACGGGGCAAGCTTCTGGGCGTCAAGGCCATCTATGTCGTAATGCAGCTAGTCTTACTTTGCTTGGGTATCTGGAAGGTCAACGCGATGGGTCTCCTGCCGTAAGTGGGCTCTCTTCTCGCGCGGCTGCTGGGCTGGACGGATGGCTAACATTCTATCTTTTTCACAGGACTACGAGATCAGATTGGTTAGCGTGGGAGTCAGAGCGTCAATCGTTGGAGCCGGCTTATTTTGCATTTGGATGAATCTCCAGGGTTTATGTTCTATATTAGGTACAGAATGTTGGCGCACAGAAAGTATAAAATGGCCCGAGGGTTGATATGAAACAAGTCTTTCGTGCAAAATAACCGGAATCCTTCATTAATTAGGCTCGTACTAGTTGCACGTGTGTAGCAGTTGCCATACTTTTAAAAGTGTACAGTACAGATGGCCACACTACTAGGTAGGGCCGCTCGAACTCCCAGAATAAGCGGAGCTTCAAGGACAAGGACCATTGAAAGACTATAATCAGGTGTGGGCTGGCCAATCTTGGTCAATCCTGCAGCCTGATTAGTCTGGGTACGATCCGCTTATATATGCCCAGTGTAATGATAAAGGAGCTGATTACGGGCCTTTTTAGTAAGTACTGCTGTAACAGGCCGGACTTGGGCGTTGTTTAGTAAAGACAACCGACAAATTTATATGGTTGATAGTAGGTTATTTCCGCTACTATACGTAATAAGTATTTCATAGGAAATCTATTCCTACATAGCAGGCTTAAGAACTGCCCACTTCGTACTGCCCCAAATACTTTCTCTTTGCCATGTATTAGAGGAACCGCGAAAGCGATCTCTTGCCTCGGATGATTTGATATGAACAGAATATACATACATGTGGAGCCAAGGACACCTACTGAAAGATTAGACCCTTCGGTGAAGCTCCAATCTATATTTGTCAATATGACTGGTGGTATATTTGGATTATATGTTTGTCATCGTCCCAGAAGCCTTGCTAAAAGTTGATGTTGACCCGGGAATCTCATAGGTCACGGTCGATTGCATGGATAAGAGGATGGAAGGATTTGGTCGTTGGGAGGTTTTCTTTCCAAAATCACAGATATACAAGTTGTATGTTCACTTACGGGCGTCCAAAGCCTGCTGACAGGCCTTTAGAAAGACCTGACAAAACTCCCAAACATCGATGTACGAGTTGTACATAGGCGCAGGCGCCACTCGAATGACGTCTGGCTTCCGTTCATCAATCACAACACCGTGCTCTTCCAGAACCTCGAGAACGCCGTCGAGAAGACCCGGTGCCAAGCGCAGACTGAGTTGAGCACCCCGCTCTGCTGGATTCGAGGGTGTGATTATATTGAACGGTCTCTCTGGAAGCGACTCGGACGGAAACTCCAGAAGGAGTTGTTCCAAATATGCCGTTATCTGCAGGGACTTCTCCCGGATCTGCGCCATTGAAGTCCGGTTGAAAAGTTCGAGGGAGGCCGCAAGCGCACTTATGTCCAGAACCGACGGGTTCGAGAGCTGGTAGCCTGCGGCACCTGTCTGAGGAACGAAGTCTGCGGGGGTGTGAAGTTAGAGCTTGAGGCTTGAGATATCTTGGGATACCATATCATACTATTTTCCATCAGGAACCGCGTCTGCTTGTCTCCTCCCCACCAACCTGACAAGCGCGGGCGGAAGGGTTGCTCTGCAGTGCCAATCTTATCTCTGTCTACTTTGCCGTGCTTCTCGTGGACAAAAAGGGCCGCCATACAGCCAGGACCGCTGTTAAGGTACTTGTAGGTACACCATGCAGCAAAGTCCACGTTCCAGTCATGCAATCGCAAGTCCACGTTGCCGGCCGCATGGGCGCAGTCCCAGCCAACCAAAATGCCCTTCGACTGGGCATACGCGGTGATTTTCTCGATGTCGAAATACTGCCCAGTGTAAAATTGGATGGCAGAGAGAAGAATTACAGCTGTACTCGAGGCATGCTCATCGATGACACGAAGAATTTGCTCGGTGGGCAAGGTGGGGAATTCGGAGTCTTGGGGCTCGATGAGAACCATGGCGTCTTCTGGGCGAAGATCGTGGTGTTTGATCTGAGACTCAACGGCGTACTGTCTCCTTGTATGTCAGTGGCTGTTCTTCCGGCCCGCCCAAGATCCGACACGTACATGATCACTTGGAAATGCTTTGCCCTCGATGATGATCTTGTATCGCTCCTTAGTAGGCTTGTAGAAGCTCGCCATCAGCAGGTGCAGGTTCGCTGTCAGCGTACCCATCACGGCAACCTCTTCAGGGTGAGCTCCAACAATCGGCGCCATCAACTTCGACCCAGCCTCGTCAACGTTGACAAAGGGTGGAAGCAGCTGATCATCATGCGATACAAAATGGCCCGTCACACCCTTGATGGCCCACGCTCGCAAATAGTGGTCAATATACTTGCGAACATTGCGGGGCTGGACTCCAAGGGAGTTCCCGCATAGATAGATGGATATTTCCTCAGCCTCCTCGTTATCTATATCAACGAATAATGCTTCTGGTTAATCCATGGTCCATGCAACAGAAAACTTGCTCGTTTGACGTACATCCATCCGGTAGAGCCAAGGTCCTCTTCTTCAGATCACTTTTCGAGGGGATGAGAAATTCCTGTCGGAAGTGACGTAGAGGATCCTGCGCATCAAGCGATTGCGCATATTCTCTTGTAAAGTCAGAAAGTGGGGGACCACCATTTGCGCGCTTTGCTTGCAGATCGGGAAGCATTGCGTTTGATCCGCTACAAGCCAGTCCTTTATCTTGTGAAGCTGGAAAAAACCAATCAGTAGCTGGTGATTATGAGGGATGTGAGAAGTCAGAACGAGTTCTATAGTCAAATTTCGACAAGGGTTAGCTCTTAGAGCACGATTGGCACCCGGCTCACGGTTCGGTTTAGTTCCCCGCGATCGGTTATCGGCCAGAAAGGCGGGCAACTGCACGGTGATTATTCTGCCGATGTCTGCCGACGGCCGATTAACCAATGACGCCACGCCGCTCACTCTGACTAACGGCAGTATCTTTGGGATGATGATATATAATCAGTCCGACACGCCTCTCTACAACCCGAGACGTCAGTGACCACGATAACGCCGCCAATCCACTAGCTCCTTGATCTTGAAGATCTTTGAAGACCATCATGTCTCGTCCGGTATTATCATCCGTCGTCCGCCGGCTATCGCGACCTCACTCATCCATCTCCGCGTTTTCGCCATCGGCCGCGCCTCCGGTGAACTTCGCCGCATCGTTTTGCGACACGGCATCCCTCCGGTCCAGCTTGCGTCCTCTTAAGAAAGCTACAAGAGGCATCGCGTCCCAGAAGCTTACTCCGCGATACTCCGTGCTCTTCCACAATGCAATCCGCCAGCGCTACCCTTTCTCCTCGTCAACGATCCGGACGAACGCGAAGATCCTACAAAACCCCCGAGTTGACGAGGATGGAAAAGAACTCACAATCAAGATATCCCCGCGGGCCGCAGAAGTAGGTTTTTATCCCTCTTCCGACATCTTCATATTTCAGTATGTTGGGTTGTGATGGAAGCTGGGTACTCATGAATCGGACGGGAGTCGGGTTATATGCACAACCCCAAGCTATGGCAGTGGCAGGAGGGAGGTCATGTGGTACCATCGCAAGAAGTACCATGACCACTCTTCGTCCAGTACATACGACCACAGGGTGTGGAAAATAGGGCTTCCCGTCCGCTCAGCCGTACTCAAGCCACACGCCGGCCGGTTAGTAGTTGGGTGGGTGACCACCAGCGAATCCCGGCTGTTGTATGTTTTTTTTTTCTTCTTTTTCGGTCTATTCTATTTTGTTATATCTTGGGGCCTGTCGCTGTGTAGCGTGGCCTAAGTCCTTTGTTCTGTCCTTGATTTCTACTTATTTGTGAGGGTATTAAACTAACGGCTTCGTATTATAGCGGCTTCGTGAGATCACAGACCCGACCTCCTCCCCGTCGGCCACGAAGGAGGAAAACCCCTACGACCACCTCCGGATCACCGTGACAAGCGGCGGCTGTCATGGGTTTCAGTATATGATGTCCCTCGAAGCAGCGTCGAAGATCGACCCCGAAGAAGATACCGTCTTCGAAGCGGAGGACGCTCCTGCCGGACCCGGCGAGGCCAAAGTCGTCATGGATGAACCTTCGTTGGAGTTGCTTCACGGAAGTACGGTGGATTACACGATGGAGCTGATTGGAAGTCAGTTCAAGATCGTCGACAACCCGAGGGCTTCGAGTAATTGCGGTTGCGGGACGAGTTTCGACGTTCTGGAGTAGGGGGGGTCGCTAAGGGTCTTGCGGATCATGGTTGTCGGGCTTTCCTGCTCCCATTTCTGAAGGCAGTCGTGCTCTGTTCTGCCCATGTATTATACTTGGGGGTTGGCGTGCATCAAACTACCACAACATAGCTATGCTTATCCGAATAGATTGTAAATAGTATACCCCCACTCCGCTTCTATTGGGATTTCAGGCGCGTAAAGGTATTCATACTTGCACAATTATGGGAGAATGGAAAGGATTAAATAACGTCATCATCTATTTCATCATGGAATCACTACAGCCTTGTGCTCTGCCAGCTGCATTCTTTTTGGGTACTGTGCAAGCAAGCAACAAACAAAAGCATGATGCACAGCCCAGACCGGACAATGTCGTCGAAACAGTAAGCAAAAACCAAAGCACAAGCATAATGGAATACGCCGCGAATTAATCAAATCCTCGAGAATTTCTTTTGTGTCGACTCCAACCCCGTAACCTGATCGGTTTCAAGGCCCCGACCCTAAGAAAAAAGCATGGACATTTGAAAGAAAACAACATGGAGGGATAATATGAAGATAGAAATAATAGGCATCATAACTTGAGTGGCGGGGTAAGGTGAGAGGATCAGTAGGCAAAAGGGGGAGGGGGTGGGGGTAGAGGTGGGAGGTTAAGCCACCAAGTCACTGTTGACCTCAATTTCGTGCATCCATAGGGTCGAGTTGCCCGGTCAATCGGCATTGGGAGTGCCGTGTTGTCCACGTGAATACCATCGACCCTTGTGGCTATGAAGACGGAGTGATCGCATCTCCGAGATCTCAAGCCTCAAGCTCTTGCGTCTAAGACGGTGATCGATGTATTGGGCTGTCGATCTAGTAGACACGAGCGAGGTTGCGAAGGTACCAATCAACAAGGCGGCGTCCAGCCTTGGTCTCACTCACGTGAATGAGGTCCTTCTCGAGAGCGTAGTCCAAGTCGTTGGCGATGGCCGGTTCACCTTCCAACAAACCACCCTCAACCCAGCGGACCTGGCGGCTACGCTGCTTGTTGATCAGCAACCAAGAGCGAAGCTTCTCAGGCTCCACCTCCAAGAAGCCGGCCAGCTTCTTCAAATCCATGGTCGTGTAAAGCTTGAGG